CTACAAATATTCATTTGACAAATAAGAAAACTGAGATCAAAGAAAGGACAATTTGCTAAAATCCAAAAGTGAGTACTAGCAATGTCAGACCAGAAACAGATTCTTACCCCTCCAAGTCCAGACTTCTCATTCTTTCACGAGACAGGCTTTCTTCTGGTGAGGACTACATGATGCTAGTCCATTTTGCCAGGATATTTGGTAGACTACTTAGAAATTTCATAAAATAAAGGCTGATGGGCCGGGCACGGTGGCTCACACCTGTAATCCCACCACTTTGGGAGGCTGAGGCAGGCAGATGATGAGGTCAAGAGATCGAGACTATCCTGGCCAACACGCTGAAACCCCATTTCTACTAAAAATACAAAAATTAGTTGGGCATGGTGGTGCGCACCTCTAGTCCCAGCTACTCGGGAGGCTGAGGCAGGAGAATCGCTTGAACCTGGGAGGTAGAGGTTGCAGTGAGCCAAGATCACGCCACTGCACTCCAGCCTGGCAACAGAGCAAGACTCCATCTCAAATATAAATAAATAAATAAATAAATAAATAAATAAATAAATAAATAAATAAGACTGATGTTAAAACACAAATGTGGATCTTTTCTTGTTCAATCTTACAGCTTGTTTCTTAACCTTTGACTCCCTCAGAACAAATTCCACTGACAATCACCAGAATCTAAAACAAAAGCTGAGTGGCAGAATGTAAACTAATAGAATCTCTATGGAGGATCATTTGTAATAGATATCAAAATTACAATGTTCATACTCCTCAATCCCACAATCCCATCCTAGATATAGTTGCACATATGCAAAGATATGTGTGCCTAAGACTAATCATTTTGATGTTATTCATAACAGCAAAAGATTGGAAACAACCTAGATAACCAGATAACCATCAATCAGAGACTAGTTTTTTTCTTTGTTTGTTTGTTTGTTTGTTTTTGAGACAGAGTCTCACTCTGTCACCAGGCTGGAGTGCAGTGGTGCGATCTCAGCTCACTGCAACCTCTGCCTCTCAGGTTCAAGCGATTCTCCTGCCTCAACCTCCCGAGTAGCTGGGACTACAGGCACATGCCACCACACCTGGCTAATTTTTGTATTTTTAGTAGAGACAGGGTTTTACCATTTTGGCCAGGATGGTCTGCATCTCTTGGTCTCGATCTCTTGACCTCATGATCTGCCGCGTTGGCCTCCCAAAGTACTGGGATTGCAGGCATGAGCCACCGCGCCTGGTCATTTTTGTTTGTTTGTTTGTTTTGTTTTGTTTAAAAAAAAGGATGATGCAATAAAATACTATGTAGCTCTTGAGAAAAAAGAAGTTAATCTAGATTTACTGATACAGAACAATTTCCAATACATCATTTCATGAAAAAGCAAAGTGCAAACCATATACAGTATGCTTCTCTTTGTGAGGGAAAGGGATATATAACCAAATATCCTACAATTATACATACACACAGAGAGAGTAGACATTTGTATATGTATAGAATTTGTCTGGAAGGACGGGAGATGGTGGCTACACCTGTAATCCCAGCACTTTGGGAGGCCAAGGTGGGCAGATCACCTGAGGTCGGGAGTTCAAGATCAGCCTGGCCAACATGGCAAAACCCCATCTCTACTAAAAATACAAAAATTAGCCAGGCATGGTGGCATGTGCCTGTAGTCCCAGCTACTTGGGAGACTGAGGCAGGAGAATCACTTGAACCTGGGAGGCAGAGGTTACAGTGAACCAACATTGTGCCACTGCACTCCAGCCTGGGCAACAGAGTGAGACTCCATCTCAAAAAAAGAAAAAAAAGAGAATTTGTCCAGAAGAATATACAATAAAGAGCAACTGTCTCTGAGGAAGGGACATGAGGGACTCAGGAATGGGAATTGGGCGGGGGACGGATTTGTATTTGGTGTCCTATTGTTCCTTTAAAATTTGTACTATGTGCACAAATTCTCTCTTCAAAAACTGGTTAAATTAGTGCCTGAAAGAGGACCCCATGATGCTGCCAGTATTGTATCATATCTACAATAATAAGCAACACACTATTGCTATCATTTTTGCTAAAGCTTTTGTTGTAATCGTGCATATCAAACTTAGAGACAAAGGAAATTAAACGTAGTTAAATTAGACTTTAAAAACCAAGTCTCTCCCCCTCCCTGCTCTGCTGTAGACAAAAGGAAAAACCTGAAAAGTTTTCAAAACCTGAATAATCCATTGCTTGTTTAGTCATTGGCACAGCTGCGTGATACAATGGAGAAAACGAGAAACGTTCCCAACTCTTCCTTTGGAAATTTGCCAATATCATCTCCAAAGTATCCTTCAGACGTTATCCACTTACGTTTTTACAGTGCACCTACCAGCAGAGTTCCTAAGCACTTTAACAAGAGCTGTATCTTGAACCAAAAGCATGAAGGGGGGACACAAACCTCAATATTGCCCTAGTTTTGCAAAACATTTGCCTCGGGTGACAGCAGAAAAGGAAGCTTAGTCCTTCTGATTCCTAGCTAGGAAAGACAGGAAATGTGTTTCTCCCACATATTTTCCTTGTTGCTTCAATTCCACACATTCTATAGTTATGCAACCCCCATGTGGTGGATCAAAGATGGCTACAAATTCTTTGACACTCCTCTCCTATGGAGAAGGGATCTGTTTCCATTAGTCTTGATTCTGGGCTGTCCTGTGACTACTTTGACCAATGGAGTATCACAGAATTGGTGCTATGCCAATTCCAACCCTAGTCTCTAAAATAACCAGCAGAGTTCTGAGTGAACCGCTATGTGAGAGTCCAACTGGCCTTCTAAAGAGAACATATAGAGATACTCTAAGACTACATCAAGAGGGAGAAGGGCCCAAAGCCTGTCAGCCATTTCTGTCAAGACAGTAGGCATGTGAGGGAAGCCATCTTGGATGCTTCAGCTCACACCAGACCGTTAAGTGACTCCAGTCAATGCCATGTGAAGCAGAAGAATCACCCAGCCAAGCACTGACCAAATTCCTGACCAAGGAACTTGTGAGATAATTAAAATGTGGTTTTAAGACACTAAGTTTTCGGGTAGTATGCTATGCTGCAGTACATAACCAAGACACCACACTATCAAAACTTAAACACTAGCGGCCGGGCGCAGTGCCTCAAGCCTGTAATCCCAGCACTTTGGGAGGCCGAAACGGGCGGATCACGAGGTCAGGAGATCGAGACCATCCTGGCTAACACGGTGAAACCCCGTCTCTACTAAAAAATACAAAAAACAAGCCGGGCGAGGTGGCGGGCGCCTGTAGTCCCAGCTACTCGGGAGGCTGAGGCAGGAGAATGGCGTAAACCCGGGAGGCGGAGCTTGCAGTGAGCTGAGATCCGGCCACTGCACTCCAGCCCGGGCGACAGAGCGAGACTCCATCTCAAAAAAAAATTAAACACTAACATCTGCAAAACCTTTTTTACTCAAAATTCAATCTTTCCTGAATTACCTTAGATTATTGATAGAACAATCTCATGCCAGGCAGCCACAGCTACTCAGAGAAGGGGCCAGTTTTAAGTTAAGACAACAGAAGAATTTTCTAGCACCTCCTTTCCAGCCAGAGATAAGTCTCCATTGGCCAGAACTGCCAGACAGAACTCCAGAGATCATGGCCAGGGAGCCTGGAGTTTCTCAGCTCACACAGGACCAACATTTCTCAGGGTGTCGTTTGACCAGCCCCAACCACTCCAGTACTCTGCGCACGTCCACCAACACCATGTCCACCACCTCATAGGTGTCACATGTGATTATTCCTGGAGGTAGGTTAAGAACCAGACCCTCAGCCAGGGGAGGTAGCTCATGCCTGTAATCCCAGGACTTTGGGAGGCCGAGGCAGGCAGATCACTTGAGGTCAGGAGTTTGAAGTCAGCCTGGCCAACATGGTGAAACCCCATCTCTACTAAAAATACAAAAAATTAGCCAGGCATGGTGGCCTGCACCTGTAATCTCAGTACTTGGGAGGTTGAGGCAAGAGAATAGCTTGAACCCAGGAGGTAGAGGTTGCAATGAGCCGAGATCGAGCCACTGCACTCTAGCCTGGGTTACAGAGCAAAACTCTGTCTCAAAAAAAAAAAAAAAAAAAAAAAAAAAAAAAAAAAAAGAACCAGACCCTCTACTCCAGCCCTTGCCCTTTCAGGCTGGGCTGAGAGAAGGAGGGCTAAGTCTTGGAAGGAGAGATTCCTGGATTAACTTCCTCAGCCCACAACGACTGGCAGTTGCCACCCACTCCAGCCATGTGCCTGTTCTCACCCACCCACAGGGTTGCCAAGGCCTGAGGGAGGTGGCACTGGCAGAAACCATAATTAGGGATTTCATCATATACTTTAGCTAGAATTGAGAACAAATTCTTCCTTACAACATGCAAATCTATTGTTCGACTTTCAAATATCCAACTAACTTTCAAACACATTTTTGGGAACCCATTAGATACGTAAGTAAGACACTACCTCTTCTGAACTGTAGACATGGCCTTGAAATTCAGACAAGAGCATTTCCAGGGTTGACACAATAATGGAAGATTCAAAAAACACATGATGAAAGAGAACAAGGAGGTCAGCAAACATGGTCCAGCAAGGTCCAGGTTGCGCCAAGGCAACCATAGACCCAGAAGCTATGAGGGAAGGAAAAGGGGAAGTACAAAGAGGGTCTTCATCCCTCCTGTGTCCCTGGCTTCAAAGGAGTGAATTCCCATTCAATTTCATAAAAGACTTTTCACCATTGCCTATATAGACAAATTAAAGCAGCAAGTTGACCATCTGAATAATCTATTGTGATAGATCAATGTCTGGATATTACTGGGGGAGAAAGGTGTTTGAGCTCTGAGCTTTTTCAAATTTTAGGATTTTCCCAAATTATCTCAATGATTTTTTCAACCCTTCACTTCAAACAAAATATTTAAGGAAATGCTATTTCCATAGGATTCTTGGGTCATATCTATACAGCCACAGCCAAGGGAGGGGCACAGGAGGGAAGAAGGAGGGGTAGAGTCACCCAGATTACCTGTCTGGTTGCTTAGACTGGTCCAATTTCACTAAGAATCACACAAACCTCTTCATTCCTTCTGCTTTGTTCACCTGACCTTTTTCAATTTCTTTTTCCTTTCTCCATTACCCTAAGGGAGTAATCTAGCCACTCTGGCTTTCTTTGCATGCAAAATCTAACAGTTCCTTCTTTCTTCTTTCAGATAAAGGCAGTCTTGGGGAGGGGAAGAGAAAAGCGCCTGGCTTCTTCAAATTAGCTCTGAAATAAAAGTCACTGCCAGATGTTATATAAAAGGTGACGTAATCCTAAAGTACTTCATTACATATGCAGCTCTGCTCTTCAGCCCAGGAGGAGTTTATTACATTTTGTCGATCCCATTTTCTATACCCACATCATTTTTACATAATTTTTCCTGCCTGACAGACATCTTCACATTTTCACAGCAACCCATCAAGATAGCGTTACAACAGCACAGGGAACCAGGTTAGCAGTTTCAATTCTTTTTGTTTTCCTAATAAATTCTTGGCTCATAGTGAAATAGATGGCCATGGCAAATGCATTAAGATCAAACTTCCTGCCTTTTTGTATTGCACAAAATTTAGAAGAAAATACACCATTTGTACCAATGAAGTATCTAGCTACTGAGATGCTTTAAGTGCAAACACTGAGAGACACTTCCTCCCACTTGCCAGGTGCTAAGCATCCTTCCCTGTCTCCCTGGGCACTCATGGCCCCACTGCCCCCTGATGGTAAAAAGCAGCAGTGCAGGCTGGATCATTCTTCAAGGAGGATTGACAGACTGGAGTAGACGGTTCAAAGGCATTTGCCTTAAAGGTCAGTGTGAGAGGCCAAAGACACTGAGCTTTTAGTTACTACTCAGAAACAAACTTATGCAACTCAGAATTCCAGTGGGATAAGAAAATGTCTGTGAGTCCCACCCCAGGGAAACATACATAGAAGGAAATTTCATCTTTAGAACCTCCTTCAGATCTTAAGGAAAGATCCCTGTAAAAATGAACTTTATGTTTTTAAAAAGTAATTACAAACTTGGAGTAACGGAGGTTCTATTCTTTTATAAGAGTGGGACTTGAATATAGGAGAAGGGGAGATATAAAGGCTTCATGGAGGAATTTTGACCCCCTCCCTTCCACCCCCACCCCCCACTGCCCAGAAAACAGAGGTACTAGCAACTAGCCCCAAAATAAATGTATCTAGTGTCATACTTTTATCCAAAGTCATTACATTCCATAGTTCTACAAGTAGTTTGTTTCACAGGTTCAAATTTTCTTCTCCTCTTTAAAGCAGTTTTTCTTTATATCAAAGTAATTCATGCACATAGTATAAAGAGTCAAACTGTTCTACAGCAGTCCAAGCAGTCCCTACCTCCTGTTTCCTGCTCCAGAAGGCAGATACTTCCAGCTCTTTTAACTGAACCATTTACGTTTTACCTCTATATCTCTAAATGGCATGTTCATGTTGCTGCCTCTTGATTTTTTAGTTTAAGCTTCATATATTGACTTTGCACTATGGAAGATGACTTCATAAGTACCCCCACACACATGCGCAACCCCACCACACATATATACTTTCCAGTATACTATAATTTTGGTAAGAGCAATAATCAATATTTATGGAACTATAACTATTAAATTATTGACCACAAAGCCATGCAGTATATCCTGTTCACCTTTCCTTTTCTGAACAAGTTTATATTTTCCCTGGAATTAAAAAAAAATAAAACAGTCTTTTCTTCACATGCTACTTTTTTGTTGTTGTTTGTTTGTTTGATTGTTTTGAGACAGAGTCTCACTCTGTTGCCCAGGGTGGAGTGCAGTGGCATGATCATGGCTAACTGCAGCCTCAACTTACTGGGCTCAAGCCATCCTCCTCCCACCTCAGCCTCCCAAGTAGCTAGGAATACAGGTACATGCTACCACTTTCAGCCAATTTTTTTTTTTTTTTTTTTGGAGAGACAGGGTCTCACTATGTTGCCCGGGCTGGTCTCAAACTCCTGGCCTCAAGCAATCCTCCCTCCGCAGCCTCCCAAAGTGCTGGGTTTACAGTTGTGAGCCACTGCGCTTGGCCTATGTGGCCTTTTTCCATGTGTGTGTCTGTCTTCACATGGCATCTCTGCTCTACGTGTCTCTGTCTCTGTGTCTCTTCTCTCGTTATAAAGACACCAGTCATTTGGATTAAAGGCCTACTCTACTCTTGCATGACATCATTTTTAACTGACTTCGTAATTATGTCTACAAAGACCTTATTTCCAATAAGTCACGTTCCCAGGTACCCAGAGTTAGGACTTGAACATATCTTTCATTGGAGGTGGCAGGAGAGCACAATTCAGCCCACATTGATCTTCACTAATTTATCCCCAACTCTGCCCAGTTGTCTAAGTCTCCTCTGAGTATATTCAAACATTATCTGTTTTCTATCAATCAGGTTTCATCTTCTGTGTCAGTTCACTCTCAAATGGGCTTTCTCTTTATAACTGGCTACAACTACAGCACATATCCTTTCAGGTTCAAGTGGAACAACAGGACATGTTTCTCCCTCAGTAGTCTCATTGGCTCCCCAGGATCACACGCCAATCTCCAACCAGTCACTACAGGCAGGAGAAGACCACACGCACGTGACTTAAGCGCGGGTTATATGCTCCCTAGATAGAGCTGGGCATAAGACCAGCTTTATTTTAGTAAATGACCTGAGCCTGGAGAAGAGAGGATTCCATAAAGGGTGGATGGATGGATACTGAACACCAAAACTAAATTAGCATCCACTACTGCAGCCTGTTAGAAAACACTTTAAGAGGGGTCATGTTCTCCCCAAGACTGGAACACAGATTTCGTCCTTCCAGAGAATTTCATAATAGTCTCTTCCTTCCGGGAAGTTACGGGAAGCAAAAAAGATATTGAACAAAAATTACATTCAGATCTACATTTTCT